CATTAATATCAAGCAGAACAGGAATTAACGGCATAGAATAAACTAATAGAAGTCTGAAGTAATCTTTTTAACTTTTTGCTTAAAATGTTGCTGATCCTTTATTTTTCAGAGTTAAGAAAACTTTTATTTTAAACTATCTACAGCTTTTAACAATTGAGTATTTTAGAGTCCTATAAAAAATTTGGAGCATTTTTGTTTCTCTCTACCACCTGATTTCTACAGAATTTGGAAACTGTGAGTATTCTTAACTTACAATAATATGGTTATTTGCTTAAGCACAATAAGAATCTGTTTTCATTTGTAAGAAGATAAAATTTGTGAAACTAGTTATTTTACCAAGGCTTTGACTGTAATGGTTTGCTTTTTTTTAAGGAATCAAACTTGACTTCTGGAGCCAATAAAAGCCCCTTGGAAAAACTGACTGCATACCTTAGGCTACACAGTTCTTGTACAGGGTTCCTGACCTGTGGTAAGTAAGGAATGTCACCTTCTGACAGGCCCCAAGTTTACCTTGCAACCTCAAAAGGAGAGGAATTCACCCAACTCATAAATATTTGATGATACAAATTTATGGCTGGGCTCAACTTTTTAAAAAAAGTCTTATCTCAGATTTATTTTATGGAACAAAGTTCCAACAAAGACAATTTAAAATCCTATGTAAAAAATATATATATATATTCGGCCAGGCACGGTGACTCATGCCTGTAATCCCAGCACTTTGGGAAGCCGAGGCAGGTGGATCATGAGGTCAGGAGTTTGACACCAGCTTGGCCAGCGTGGTAAAACCTGTCTGTACTAAAAATACAAAAATTAGCTGGGCCTGGTGGTACGCACCTATAATCCCAGCTACTTTGGGGGCTGAGGCAGGAGAATCACTTCACCCTGGGAGGCAGAGGTTGTAGTGAGCTGGGATTGTGCTGCTGCCCTCCCACCTGGGTGACAGAGCGAGACTCTGTCTCAAAAAAAAAAAAAAATTGTTGTACTGTATACAAATAATCAGACCAAGTATAATAAAGCAAACCAGCCCTATCATGATTTGCTGTTAGTAAAAATGGGAAAATGGATAGAGAAAAATTATGTTTCAGAAACTATAGTATTCCTGTTGTTAGAGTCTAGTCTTGACTAATGTTTTTCAATTTGTATTATCTTCTACAATTTGGACCGAATTCTAATTTTTCTTGGCTATAAGTCTTCAATATAATGTTTTCAAATTTTTTTCCCCTTTTTACCTTATTTTTCCTAATTTGGAGTCATCAAAAACTAAGCTTGCTTTCCTAAAGCCCTGCGAACTGAAGCTAGACCTAAACTTAAACTTCAGAAGAAAATAACAGCAACCCACTTGCATACGTAAGCCACTTTCATACCTGCCGACTGATATACGGACTTCAGAGTAATGTGACCTGTATCGATTTGTCAGGATTGTTCTTTTGTTACTGCTTTTGCTTTTTTAGACAACTGCTTTGGCAAACAGGCAGGCAGACTCTCACAAGGTCAAACATAGAGTTTAGCATATATAAGAAAACAACAGCCTAGAATGGCAGGCAGAAATAAGAGCTTAGGTTTATTGTTGCTGTCCCTGAGTCACTGAACTTATTTTGGAGCTGCCCATCATATGACCCCACAATTCCACTCCAGACTACTAAAGAGAAGTGAAAAGGGATATCCACACAAAAGCCTGTGCATGAATGCTCATACTAGCCTTAAAAACCATAGCCGAAGTGTAGGAATGACCCAAATGTCCATAACTGATGAATGAATAAATAAAATGGGGTATATCCATGATGGAATGTTATTTAGCCATAAAGAAGAAATGTAATACAGGTGCTACAACATGAACATGAATACCCGAGCTAAGTGAAAGAAGCCAGACACAAAAGGACAAATAATGCAGGATTTCACTTACATGAGGCATTTTGAATAGTCATATGCTTAGAGACAGAAAGTGGAATGGTGGTTTCCAAGGGCTGGGGTGGAGAGAATGGAAAGTTATTGTTTAATGGGGACAGTTTCTGATTCGGATAAAAAATGTCTGGATATGGATGGCATGATCTGATGTACTTAATTCCCATTTCCCTGTACACTTAAAAATTGTTAAAACAGTACATTTATGTTATGTATATTTTAGTACAATTTTTAAAAGCCAAAAGAAGAATCATACCTCCCTCAGAAGATCGTCTTAGCAAGCCAAACAGAATCACCTTCCTTGAGGGAGAATCTGCAGGTTTAGTGGCTGAGTTTTATACCTTTTTTAGAAAGTGTCATCTTTTATTTTCTTGCATGCAAACATTGACCATGTGATTGGTTTTGGATTGTGCACTTGATGATGTAGAGTGGAATTGAATGTGGAGAAATGCCAAAGTCTTTGCTAGATATATTCCAGTAAGTAGAGCCAGTGACCCCGAGCCAGCCCTCTGGCTCATTTTTCTGCCTTTTCATTCTCCATCCTGCCCCCAAGATGATGCAAATTTAATCAAGGTTGTACCTGACTCAGAAGACTTCAGGGGCTCCCCATCAACCGTAAAAGAGGATGACAGCGCTGAATGTGGCTCACAAGGGCCTCTCAAGTTGATCCTTATCCTTCCAGGAGAATCTCCCATCCCTTCTTTTCTTGCTTTTGTAAACTCCAATGAGGCCACAGTGATGTGAGTCTATTCTTTGGAGTGTGGTGTTCTCTTTGCCCAGAAACACCATTCCTCATCTCATTTGCCTGATGAGCTCAGCTATCTCCCCTCAATGAATTCTTTTCCAGTGTCCCTGTACTTGGTACACTCACGATGATGGACTTGTAGCCCCATTGTGTAATAAAATATGTGATGCTTCATTTTATGTGTCAACTTGGCTGGGACAGATATTTGGTCAAACATTATTCTGGGTGTTTCTGAGAGCATTTTTGAATGAAATTAACATTCAAATCAGCAGAATTTGCATAATACACATTGCCCTCTCTAATGTGGATGGACCTCATCTAAGCAGCTGAAGGCCTAAATTGAAAAAAAGACCAGATTCTCTGGAGGAAGAGAGAATTCTCCAGCAGAGAGCTGTGGGACTTCCTCTGCAACATCAGCTCTTCCTGGTTCTATAGGGTTTTACAGCCCAAAGATAGCCTGTGTAGTAGGCTACACCATCTAGGTTTGTGTAAGTACATTTATATGATGTTTGCACAACAAGGTTCTTAGGAAATTGCTTAAGAACTCATTTCCCAGAATGTATCCCCATCCTTGAGCAATGTAGGCTGTATTTCCATACTGTAAATACTCCCCTTGTGGGGGATTTCAATCTACAAATGTGACATCACTGAATGTGGAGTTAGAAAGAAAGGTACAGTTCATGGCTCACAGTTCCTACAGCCCTTCTAATTTCCTAAATGAGTACAGCAAAGTATCTTTTGTTAAAATATTTGGCATTTTTTTCCTGGTTACTGAAAAAGCTCCAGAACAGCTCCAGAGCCATAAAGGTGAAAGATAGTAGTTCAGCCACACGAGTTTATGTTAATGTGGTGATTTTTGGAAACTTGCAGGATAATCCCAATATTTGGGGGGAGTGGTGGCTAGTTGCCAGAGGAACCAGCCATGTGCTCAGAGGATTGGAACTCACAGCTCCACCCTCTGCTTCCGGGAAAAGAGAGAGGCTGAAAATTGAGTTGATTGCCAGTGGCCAGTGATTTAATCAATTACATCTACATAATGAAACCTCCATAAAAACCGAAAAGGGCTGAGTTCAAGTGGCTTCCAAGAAGGTAGACAAAAACACATCCTCATGTTGGGAGGGCGGTCCACCCCAATTCCACGGGCAACGGTAGCTCCTGCCCTAAGGGCTTCTCTCGGACCTTGCCCTAGAAGTGTCTTCATCTGGTTGTTTATTTATATCCTTTAAAATATATTTTGTAATAAACCAGTAAACATAAGTATTTCCCCGAGTTCTGTGAGCTGGTCTAGCAAATTAATTGAACCCAAGGAGCGGGTTGTGGGAGCCCCAATTTATAGCACATCTGTCAGAAACACAGGTAAAACAATCTGGAGTTTGAAATTGGCATAAGAAGTGGGGTACCATCTGGTGGGACTGAGCTGTCTAATCCTGTAGGATCTGATGCTATCTCCAGGTAACTTCAGAATTGAATTGGAGTAGAGGCCCCTCCTGGTATCTGCTGCAGAAAGGCTTATTTGAGATGTTAAGACATTATAAGAGACGACAGAAAAAAAATGTATACGATACAAACTTCTCTGTGTTATATTTCTCCATAGCCCTTTTTACTGTTCATCAGACTCTCTAACTTACACATTCGTGGCTTGCTTTTCTCCACTTCAAAGTAAACTCTGCAATAAGAGGGCAGGGATTTTTTTTTTTTCCATCTGCTGTATCCCCTTGAATTGCTTTTCCTTGTTTGTCCCACCTTCCAATACTAATGCTACAGTTTTCTTAGTTCCCTAAAACAGGGACCATTTCCATTTTATTAAGTTGCAGAACGCGGTTTAATCCTAGCAGACTGGTTCCAAAAACGTCGTGTTATTCACTATCTCTGAGCACTAACAATGACATTCTCATTTTGCAGCTGAGAGAGGTATTAATTTGTCAGAGTCACAACACGGGCGGGGTTCCGAGTCGCTGTTCTTACTCCAAAAAGCTTAACACAGAAAGATAATCACACTCCCACGGACAGGCACAGAAGGCCGTACTCCGAATGACATCGCGGTCACAGGGGCACAGACAGCATCACAAAGCCGCACACGTGCTCACACCTGGGGCTCAGCCGCCGCGCGCTTCCTTCCGAGGTCTTAGGAACCGGTAACTAGGGACGCTTCTGGTCTCCAGGCGAGGAGAGGGGAGAGTGCAATTTTTGCGCCTGCGTACACTCCCGCTCTTACCCGCGGGAAACCGTAGGCCAAGTCCCGCTCGCATAATCACGCACTGCGCAGAAACGCCCGCTCTGTCTCTAGGGTCCCTCCCACTCACAGCCGCCCGAGGACAGGCCCCTCAACGCTAGGCCACGCCTCGTCTCCGCCCCTCGCGCCCGGCCCCTGGAGAAAGGCCGGCGCCTGCGCAATGGGGGTTCCGGCGTCGACTCACGAAGTCCTTCGGATGAGAGCTTCTGGGTGCCAGACGAGGCCAGGGGTTTGTTTTGGGTGGTTTGGGAGTCCGAGCTCAAGGACAGGGCCTGGAGGGGCAGGCAAGGCGGGCGTCTCAGACCCGAGTCGCGAAGGCCCCGCAGTGTCCTCTGTCCCCTTGACGACTACATTTCCCAGAGGCCCGCGCGGCGCGCGTACTCGAGTCTGCGGGGCGGAGGCCACGGCTCGGGGCTGGTGGGCTCTCGGGGCGGCTCGGGGCGGCGGGACCACTGGAGTGAGCTGTGGGAGAGATGGGGGTGTGCCTGTGTGTGAAAGACCGGTCAGCATGTGAGGCTCCGTGAGCGGGTGCGGTCTGTGTGTGTGTCAGACCGGGAGTCCAGAGTGTGAGACCAGGGTGCGTTCGTGTGTGACAGCGAGACGGGTCAGTGTGAGAGACCAGTGAGTGTGACAGGGGAGTGTGTCTGCGTGTGAGAGACGAGTGTGTGAGGCTCTGAGAGGATACGGGGTGTGTGGGTGTGTAACACTGTCCAGAGCACGAGACCAGGATGTATTCGTGTAAGAGAGTGACACGGGCTAGAGTGTGAGAGACCAGTGAATGTAAGAGAGATGGGCGTGTGGCTGTGTGTGAAAGACCGGTTGATTGGTGTGTGAGGCTCCATGAGAGGCCGGTGTGTGTGTGAGAGAGAGAGAAAAGGAGACTGTGCGAGGCCGAAGTGTGGGACTCTAGTGTGTTGACATGTGAAAGGGAGACTGGTGAGTGTGAGAAATGGGTGTTTTGGGTGAAAGACCTGTCAGTGTGTGAGGCAGTGGTTTGTATGTGTGCCTGACAGACTGTGAGAGACCAGAGTGTGAGACCAGGTGTGTTCGTGTGTGTGTGTGTGTGTGATAGACCAGAGCGTGAGACCAGTGAGTGTGAGAGAGATGAGCATGTGCTTGTGTGTGAAAGACCTGTCATTATGTGAGGCTCCTTGAGAGGCTGGTGTGTGTGTGAGAGAAAAAAAGACTAAACTGTGAGAGTCCAAAGAGTGAGACGGGTTTGTTGCGGTGAGTTTGTTAGAGAGAGGGAGGCGATCAAAGTATGAGTCAAAGTTATGTTTTTTGGCATACAACTTCTAATATCCTTGGAATCTCCAAAGTATTAAGTATCTTTTTGTATGCTAATGATTGGTAGGCTGGCAGCCTGTAGGTAGATCATGGTAAGGGCTGGTGAACAGAACGACCTAGGCAAGATTAGAGGGTTGGGATTATCAGCCCCATCCTCAATCTCCAGGGAGAGGAAAGGGAGCCACAGGTTAAACTGATCATCAGTGGTCAGTGATTTAACCAGTCATGCCTAAGGAATGAAGTGTCCATAAAAACCTAAGAGGACTGGGTTCAGCACACTTCCAGATAGCTTAACAATGGAGGCTCCTGTAAGATGAGCCTTACCCTACATAACCTTGTCCTATGCATTTCTTCACTTCCTTTGTAATATCCTTTATCATTACAAACATGTTTCCCTAAGTTCTGTTAGCTGCCCTAGCAAACTAACTGAATGCAAGGACGGGGGCATAGGAACCCTGATTTATAGCCAGTCAGTCTGAAGCACAGGTAAAACAACCTGGGGCTCGCAATTGGCATTGGAAGTGGGGAGCAATTTTCTAGGACTGAGCCCTCAACCTCTGGCATCTTATGCTATCTACAGGTAGATAGTGTCAGAATTGAGTTACCCAAGAGGTCACCCAACTGGTATTCACTGAAGAATTTATTGCTTGCCTGGTGTGTGTGTTTGAAGACCCCCACACATCTGGTCTTATAACTTTTGTGTTGTGAGAGTAGAGTAGGAGAAACAGTTTGTTTTTCCTCTTTGTCACCTGAGCGTGTTATCAGGGACTGGATTGTGAGAACCCAGAGTGCGAGACCAGGGTATATCAATGTGTGAGAGAAATAGATGTGCCTGTGTAAAAGATTAACAAGTATGGGACTCCCTGTAGTCTGGGAAAGATCATGTGTGTGTCTGAGTAAAAGCAAGAAACTAGACTGAGAGTTCAGTGATTGTGAGAGACTGAGGTATGTTGGTGTGAGTGTGTGAGAGATCAGTAGGTATGTGAGAGACTGGAGTATATCTCTGTGTCTGGCCTGGGAGGTTGTGGGAGAATGTATCACAGTATGAAAAAGATTGGAGTGAGAGTGACCGTTACGTATTTTGTGTGCTTTGATAAAGCAGTTGGAATGTGAGAGGCCAGAGTGTGTTTGTGTATCTGTGTGACATACTGGAGTATGTGAGTAATTGAGGCCTCTGAAAGGTACCATTGGATGTGTATGTATGAGAGACCATCATGTTTGTATGTGTGAAAGAGGGAAAGACTAGTGATGTGGTTGTGTCAGAGACTAAAATGGGTGAGAAAGAAACTATGTGAACCATGGTGTGTTACTCAAAAGGCTTTACAAATATAAACTTGTGAGGTTGTGGACCTTGCATGTGTGAGTGAGACAGAGATAAGGGACAGTGAGCTGTGTGTGTGAGAGAAATAAGATTGGGGCTATGTGTGAAGGTGTTGGTGAATCACCATGTGTGCTTACATTCATGTTCTCAGACAATGGAAATGTCACTCTGTATATGTGCTTGTTTTGGGATACTTGTGATTGTGTCCTCTGTGTGACCAGGAAACCTGTGTTAGTGTTTGTATGTCACCCTGTATACCTATAATTGTGGCCCTGTATAACTGCTGTGTATGGAGAGACTACTTGGAAGATTGATAGGATTGGATTCTTTATGAGTGTGGCTGTTTGGAATTGTGTGTTGCTGGGATAGGAATGGTGGAATAGAATTCCTGTCCCCAATCCAAGAGCTTCAGTAAGAAACAAAAGCTAGGCCGGGCGCGGTGGCTCAAGCCTGTAATCCCAGCACTTTGGGAGGCCGAGGCGGGTGGATCACGAGGTCAAGAGATCGAGACCATCCTGGTCAACATGGTGAA